TGCCCTGACCCAGGTGCAGGAATGATGAGGTCAGCTCACAGGAAACAAACCTTGGTGGGAAAAAAATTAAGAAATTCCATTTCACCTGTTATTCCCTTCTCCTGCCTCCCCAGCACTCCTCAGCAACTGCTGAAGGCTTACCAATAACCGGGGTTTGCCGTCTGAACTCCTGGCTGACAGCAACCTCTTTATCTTCCCAGTCAAGACGACACCTAGCTCACCCCTCAGCTGAACACATTGTCTAGGAAAAGCCCTTCACTTGTTGTCTTCTTCCTTTGGAAATGGCCTGAAAAAATGCCAGGTGGGAAGTCTTTACCTAGTTCCAGGAGCTCCTGGATATTTCTCATAGCGTTGGTCATCACCCCAAGCTTCATGTACACCTCGTTCATTCGCGGATAAACGCCATTCAGAGAGCTGACGTCAAACAGCTTCTGGAAGTGAGAGACTATTCCCAACAGGGTTGGTAAGGACGGTGCCTGGCTGCTCTGTAGCAAGGAAAAATAATAACTCGTCAGCGTTATGGCTTAACAAAGCAAGGATGCTTTTAAACCATGAAACATTACGTCTGGGCTATGAAGAAAAACGGGTGTAACTTCCCTTATTAAATCACGGCACTTCAAATATTCTGAAGTCTGAAGACGTATTTGAAAGGAGAGCTTTCAGGCACAGATACCCAGCAAACCGAAAATACCCTTTGGAAAGCTTTCTTCTCTGCTGCCCAGTCAGTCCGTTCACAGGCCGACAGGAAGAGGATGACGCCCGAGACCAGAGGGTGATGCAAATTCATCGCCGGTCAAATGACTTTCATCAAAGCCTCTACCCCAAGGTGAGTTTATCCCTTATGTTAAACCAGTCTTTGACTACTGAATGCCTTTCCCAAACCCCTGCAAGGCTTTCAAATGCCCCAGTCGAATCGCCGGGTGAAGAATGCGTTTAGGAATTCCACAGTGACCTGTGATCCTAAACCTTTGGGAAGAATTACCTTTTCCTTATTTTCTATTTCTTCCAACACTGCATCTACTAGGAACTGGAGGTCTTCAACTCGTACGGATTCTCTGTCGCCCTGCGGATCCGCGGTGTGCCAGGGCACCAATTCCAGGAAGAGTTTTCTCAAGGACCTATGCAAATCCTTTTAAAAGAAGGGAGGGGACACCACTTTTGTAACTGCTTACAGTTGGTTTTGCTTCAGAAACAGGCAGATTTTGTGTTTCTCATATGCAACAACATTCCGGTACTGGAGACAGCAAGGTTTTAGTTTTCATGGAATTTAAAGCACAGTATCTTGCTTACACTCTTTGATTTGAAAAGAACACTGACAGTCTAAAAATCCAAGTACTTCATTGGTAGTTTCAGGGAAATAAGAAGCGTTGGCCTCGCAGAGTTTGGTTTTAGACAAAATTACTTGCATTTAGGTCAAAAAGTTACTGTTCTGGCATGACAGAAGGAACAAGGAGAATGTACTTCACACCCTAGTGACTGTTTACAAGAGCCTGTAGTGACAGGACAAGGGGTAACGGGGACAAATTGAAAACAGGGAGGTTTAGATTAGATATCAGGAAGAAATTCTTCCCAGAGAGGGTGGTGAGGCACTGGAACAGGTTGCCCAGAGAAGCTGTGGATGCCCCATCCCTGGAAGTGTTCAAGGCCAGGCTGGATGAGGCTGTGAGCAACCTGGTCTAGTGGAAGGTGTCCCTGCCCATGGCAGGGGGGTTGGAACTAGATGGTCTTTAAGGTCCCTTCCAACCCAAACCATTCTGTGATTCTATGATTCTATGATGTACAGACTCTAGAGCTCAAGTGCCTTCTTCGGGACCCAGCAGAGAACAAAACCATTCAGATGATGCACACAGAGAACCCTCTCTGTAGGCACACGGCGCGCTTTTCACCCCACTGTGTTTTGAGGTGGTCTAGAAATGGACAGCAAAATGACTTTTAAAATTCGTCACCGAACCGGGCCGTAACAAAAGCCGCACACAGAAAAATCCCGACGCGTCAGGAAGGCCCGAGGAGTGGTCAGCGGAGCGAGGGAAGAAGACAAAGCCAAGTACAACAAGGCAGTACCTTCAGGGCCATCAGCTGATCTGCCCACATCTCTATGGCGAGCGGGAGGTGCTCAAAGCCACATTCCTCTCCATTCTCCTTAACGTGATGCTGCACCGGCCCTTTACTGCGCCTGTGTATTAACAGGGGGGCTCTCGGGCTTCGCAAAATAGAATCAATACGGGACAAAACCTTCAACGACAAGCAAGCAAATGTTACTGCTCAAATACCTAGGATGCTTTACAGTAACATCCCACAGTCACGATTGTCTGGACATTAAATCATTAATAACTTCAGTACGTTACTCTCCATGAATTTTACAGCTGCATTCAGTATGTAACAGATTCAAAGATCTACAAATATACTAGCAGGAAGATATGTGAAAGTAATGCAAATAATACTCCCCTTTGAGGGATATTTAACATTTATCCACTTGAGGCATTGTTACTCCCACAGTTTACATTTTGCTAAGCTTTGTTATATTTGCTTTTTTCTGTAAAATTAAAAAAAACACCTAACAGCCACCATCTCCTTGGGCATGTTTAAAACTGTAACATCAGCATGTGTTTCACCCCAGACCCTGAACAAATCCCCTGTCCTGAAAAGACGTCAGCTAAACCGCTGATTTGATGTTTGCCAACCTAGTCTCTGCTTCCTTGCTGTATTTACAGGCAGTTTACACGAAATTAATTTGAAGAATTAATTACACTAAGGTGTAAATTAGTGAAGAAGCAGCCTGCATTAACTGCCAAACCCAGCACGTGATGCATCCAGAGGACTTCACGTGAACCCTTAGACGGGAAATGGCACGCTTCAGTTTACATAGCGCAACAAAACTCGCGTCGCATTTCTCTGTGTCCGTGCTAGCAACAGGCAGCACAGAGAAAATCTGCAAACCTGTAAGTATTGCTGGCAAACTGCCTGCAGCTGATCCACTCCCACCACACTCCCAGGTTCCTTCTTTTCGTCTGCGCTTCCTCCGGCACCGCTCCCCGAAGATCTGCACGCCGGAGACACACGCAGTGGGTTACACAAGCAGCCTTAGCGGCAGGTGCTACTCCCAACCTGATCAAAGAACCAGGTGCGTAGCCGGTACATTCCCACCTACAGACTGACATCTCCCTTCTATGAAGCCTGCCGTAGAATGCCATCAAACTAACGAGCTGAAGAATATAACACCTGCTGTAAACACCACTGATTTATCTCAAGCCTCCAGGCTGAGGTTATTCCAGACTGCATGCTAACTTAGAAGGAACACCACCAGATGTACTATTGTTCTGTTACCAGAGGTTCTGCTTTGGCTGAAGACTTAAAATCCAGAATTTTACTCAAAAGGGTCAAATTCCACGCTCACAGTCTTTATCTGCTCCTGCCTGAACATCCTCCCAGGCTTACTAGATACGGCTCGCTACCCTTCTTGTCAAATCTGAGATGGCTTTCTCTAAAAATACCACCTAAATGGGAGAAAAGATCCTTTAAATATACAGGATGTAAAAGGGAGAACCGAATGTTTTCAAAGTTTAAGTGATGTCCTTTCTTGGGTTTAAAATGTTCAGCATTCAGTATTCACATGCACGAATGATTAAGTGAAATTACAAATAGAACCATTTTCTCAACACTGATCTCTAATACCTTCAGTGTATTTTCTGAGCAACGTTTCAGAAGAAAACTAAGGCAGCTTCTAAGAATAACATGGACGTAACTTCAGCGGTAACTTCCACGTAACTTCAGGAGCAACGTGGACGTAACTTAGCAGCTGCAAGAGTCTGCCAACGCATACTTTCTCATTCATGATCCACAAGGTAACCAGTAGCTTGCTTTACAGCTTTGGTCCTGTCCATGCTGCCTGCGACAGCACTCGGCTCAAAGCCAGAAAGACAAAACCCAGTGAAAAAGACACACCGCTGTGCCCCTTTTGGGGACCACGCCATCATCTCAGGGGTTCACAGGGCGTCTTTGGAGACACAGCTGCCCATCACCAGCCTCCCAGTGCCAAGGCACATGCTTTAGAAGCTATGACCGACATCACTGACGGCGCAGCTTCGCCTTACAAGTTCAGAGGTATCCTGAACGGTACTGAAGAAACATACTTACTGGGTAGTTTTCTTTAAAGTTCTCTCTAGTTTCTTCACTTGGTGCTTGTAAAGCTTTAATTCCTGCACAGTTGGTCTGTTAGAAAGAAAAAGCACCACACTGTGTGTGTCCTGCGTTTGAAAGTATCTATAAAGCTCAGCCAAGCAAAAACCCAAGCGAAGCTTTGCCAGCGCCGCAGCGCCATTCTGGAAATGAAACTCTGCATCATTGGTAACAGCAAAACAGCCATCAGCAGGGGTTGTTAACAGCGTAGGGAGGGAACGCTGACTGTCGCTGCCGCATCTTGCTGCTGTGCATCGCCTGTAAAAGCGGATTTCGCACACTACTTTCAGCCTCTGGGTAAAGTGGAGTCTACCAGAGCGCCCTCACAATCCTTTCTCACCTTATTTCCAAATCTTTCTTGAGATTCATATTTTCAAGCAAAAGCTGTTCATTCCTGGCTCTTGTTTCAATGAGCTGTTTCTGGAAAGACTGCAACACAGACTGTTATTTATCTCGCTCATTCCGCAATCGGCAAGCTTGAAGACTTTGAAGGACGCGTGTGTTAAGAAGGGTTCCCGCTTGCCTACGCAGCAAGACGGCGTGGAAGAGGAACGAGTCGACTAAGACCAAGAGCCTGCTGCACTAAACCACAGGGGGAGGACCTGTGATTAAGGAGGTCTGTTCAGTCCCCAGCAAAGACTCAAAATGTCCTACGGAATCTTTGCACAAAGACAGCAAACCCTGCCCCGAGGTTACGGATTAGGAAGACCTGGTAAGAACAAGGGGATAAAAATCACACATACATGTTTCTATGTGGCTCTCGAAGGGTTACCATTTAGAGATCTGCACTGACTTACTCTTAGCAGTTCCATACCGTGAGAAGTGCTCTGTAACTAGGAGTAGCATCTAGATTTAAGAATTCTTCCTTGCTTTTGACTTCTCTCTGTGCCTGGTCTTCATCGTTTTTATACTGCCTATTGGGAAAAAGAAGTTGTTTCAGCTTACTGTGATGCGATTAGTTCAAATATCTATGTTGGCTTAGTTAGCAGTTACGTATGATAATAATGTTTTCATGAACTGCAAAGGAAATAGAATGAATTCTGCCCCAAGATCCACTGCTCTGCTCTATTATTTCTGGAAAGCTATTTCCCGTGCTCATTCGGTACACTTATATTTTGAGAGAAATTGCAGTACAAGCAAATCCCATTTCGGTTTTCAAGATAATAATCTCAAATTATAGCAACATTTCCAGTATCTGCTTGTGCTTTGTACCACGCAGGCACCACGATAGAGCTGGAACGCTGCCATTCCTTTTGTTTAGGGAGATCAGTCCACTGGGCACGGCTAATGCAGCAATTCTGCCTGTGAACCACGGCAAAAAAGGAAAGGAAAAGAGGACAAAACAAAAAGAAGAAAGAATTACAGCTCAAGTGTCTAAATATCCCTGACTTCCTAGCTGTCCTGGCCTCCTGACTGATACTTATTCCTTGGTTGAATCCAAACTTCCATGACCATTACAATCCTTTGCTGTTTCTCACACGCTAGTGATGTCTGGCACACAGAATATTTACCATTATAAGGCTTAAGAACAGTAAGGAGTAAGAAAAATTTTGAGCAGTAGAACCGTAAAGCATTCAATGACACCCACCTTAGCTCCTTTTTCATTTGACTAATTTGAGATTCATAATAGTCAATCAGACAAAGGAACTTGAAGAAAGGAAAAATGGTATTTTGAATTTCAGATATTCTCAAATCCAATCATGACTGAAAGTTTCTGTGACCAAGCCCCAGGACCAGGGCAGCTTACAGAACCACCCTTCAGCGGTGACTGCTTCAGGCAGCGGGTGCTCCCTCATACCAAACACGGTTGCAGTTTGCCGTGACAGAGAAGTGGAGACATGAACTCTCTACTGGTGTAACAAAATTATTCAAGAGGAGACAAAAGCTAAACCCTCCCGACAGCCTCCTCACCCTGTGGCTCTGTTTGCCCAGCAAGCCTACCAGCACGGCACAGTCCCAAGTGCCAGGGCTGAGCGAGCGCTGCGGCGAAGCACAGGTCCCGCATAACCCGAGAACGGCCGTCCCCAAAGTGCTTTCGAAGCAAGCGGTCACAAAAAAACCCCCCAGAGCTACAAGAAACTGAACAGCTGAGAAACTGCCCTTCCTCTTGAGTGCCCTGGGATGGTCTGTTCTGGAGAGCCAGGTGGGAAAGCACAGGGCAGTGCCTCCTCGGGACCGTCACTGAGGTGCCTTAGCGCAAGCCCGCACCGGCAGGCGCAAGGACCAGCTGCGCTTCAGACAGGACCGCACACTGGGCAGGGTTCTGGGGGGTGAGGTGCTGGCCTTCGTGGGTTTTTGTTATTTACCTTTTCAAACGTTCCAACCCCAGAATGAGATCGCCCTAGCAGATGCTGCAGGTCCCGAGCGAACCATTCCCTTCTCTTTGCTGACACCTAGCGTGTACAGGGGCTGTTGGGTTTTTTCTTTCTGCTATAGATCCAGCTCACATTTACGATGCAAGAAACAACTACCGCACTGACGTTGCTTTACCAGACCTCATATTTCAGCTTGCACTCCTAAGGTCCCCAGCTTTTCCTTTTTCTCATGTCAACACTGAGAGCAGGGAGCGACTTTGAGATCCGTTTCTCCGTTACAGGCCATTCACCAACGTGAGAAAACTGCTTACTGCTGATCCAGGAGAGGCTTGGCAGCTCTTCTGCAAAAGCGGCAGAACGTTTTGTTCTGAGCGGCAGCAGGCTGTTGCTCCTCCATCCCAGCTTTGCACAGCTCCTTCTGCAAACGGGCAATCGTCTCTTCCTGCTTCTGCAGCCTTTCCTGCTGCTGTTGGTATTTTGCCTGGGGACAGATAAGGCAGTTATTCTAACCCATCAGCTGGAGGCTGTACTGCGCGTGCCCAAGTCAGGACTTCGTCCCGGGGAGGTTTACTGCTTGGTTTTGGCCTTACTGAAGAGGCAGTGGGAAAAGGAGATAGATATTATTTCTAATTTATCGCTAGAAAATTCTGCATAGATTGAAAAATCTTAGCTATACAAAGCGCACTAACTCTATAACCCGAGACTCATGTTCATTTTGATCAACATAAGTATTTTTAAAGCTTTTTAAAAAAGTCAAAAGTTTGAATCCCCAGACAGCACTGTCTGAATTACCCGTGAAACCTGTTGATCTTTTTGAAGCTCTCTGACTTGGTTCTGCTGCTGGGCCACTTTAGCTATCATCTCATCTTCCAGCTGGCAAATCTTGGACTTGATGTTTTTCACCACATTTTCTAAATCATTAGCCCGTTGTTCTTGTTGAGATGCCCGACCTCGCTCCTGTCGTATCTCATCTCTGAGAAAAATAAGAAAAATCCTTGGTTTAAATTGAACACATTTCACTAAAGACAGCGAAGGAAGCACAAGGCTGATGTTATCTGATGACACTCAATAGCCTGTGGCAGCAGGCATGGGAAACAGGTTGGTATGGGAAGCAGCAGCAGATGAAATAACAGAAGAGCGCAGAAGGAACCAGGCCAAGACTGCTGCACACTGGACAAAAACCTCAAGCAAAAGGCCCTAGGCCTCGGGTGTGACCAGAGCTCCACCTGGCAGGGACGGATACTGATAATACTTTTGCTCTGCATGGGCATGCAAGTTCCTTCTGCTGCGTCTTACCGAAGATGCCGGTTAGCCTCCATAAGCCCCTGCATGATCTTCTGCTTTCGGTCAGTGTCTTCCACCAGCGTTTTTAAGGCCAGCCGTATTCCTAGAGAAGCCTGACTGTCTAGGACAGCCGTATCTGGAGATACACAAATAAAGCAAAGTCATAACGAAAAGCTTTTCAGTAGCTGAGTAAGATCACACCTCTGCCACCGTTGGGAAGCGATGGCTTCAGAGATGCCTTACGCACTCAGGCAGGCTGTTTCCAAGTACAAAAACTTGTAAACCGAGCATTTCCTTACCTGGTGTATCTCTGCAGCTTTGGGGGGCAGCAAGGCTCACCGGTTTCAACCCATGTCGCACCAACAGCTTGTTCAGGTTTTCCCACTCTGCCTTCTCCTGCTGCAGCTGGGAAAAGAGGAAGAGACAGAGACCCGCGTCCTCAGGATCCGCTCCTGCCCGTCCCG